AAATTTGACGAATCATATCATTCTTATTATCATCCTAAAATCCATAAAAACAATATGGCAATCTGCTTTCATTGCTGGGAACTATTTCGAGTTAATGAAATAAAGCCAACTAAGACATATCATCATGGATGATATAGATTCGTTGAATTGATTGAAGCCAAGAACATGATACAGGGACATTGAGACTAAGAATGTTCTGATCCTTTAAGTGATCTTGAACGTGTAAGGGTTAAGCAACAAGCCTTTGATAAATTTAAGTATCAGGATTCTGTAAGAAATAAGCCACACTCGTTGACTCCTCTAAATGAAATATTTATCTCATCTATATATATAAAATAAAATAACTTAATTGCTGATCCACCAGTGAATGAGAATCATATGATCATAATTAATAGTAAAATCTGGGGATAAGTGATATAATAAAAATTCTCTATTTTAAAATCTCAACTTCTGAGTAATCCCAGATTTTACATGTTCTTTATATCTAACCAAAAACATAAAATACAACTTCTAGCCATTGGAAATATAGTAGAAACGCTTCATTATAGGTATTTTGCGTCAAGCTGATAGGCTTTGGCTAAAAAAAATCTGAATTCCTTGGCACGTTAATTGTTGTATTTGTGTAGATTTAGATGGAGAACAGTTTGTATTGCGTATAATTGCACAAGATAATAATAGTGTTGGACCTGAATTTATATCTGAGGCAGAACTAAATCCTCAAATACATTTCAATATTTCTGCTGCAATTAATATTACTTATAAAAAACTTTTTAAAAATGAAACAAGATATTCTGGGTTAAATATTTTCAGTTTGGAGAAAGATGAAATTATAGAACAATTATTATTTGAAGTTTCATTTCAACCATTTCAAATAAAGCAAGATAATATCTCAATTTTTATTGCCTATATAGGAATCTCAGATGATGAAACTCTCTATTTTGCTAGATCTGGATATATCTCTAGTTTTAATCATAAAGTTCGTAGAGATCAGTGTTTAGTAGTTCAAACTATCAATGAGCGTAATATTAGCATTCATGTATATCAACATGGAGTCAAAAGAGAAGAACATTTTGGCATGTCACCTAAAGAAATCTGGAAGAATATGACTATATGTAAGGAAAAGGATCCAATAAAATTATTTGGTTTGACAAATTCAGTTGTACAGCATGTAATAAAACAACAAATGGAAACTTCTCTATGCAACTTTAAACAATAGATGAATTTGGATATTATGATACCAATATTTTAAAAATATCTCAGAAGACAAATAGGAATATCAGATCTTCCATGGCATAATTTTTTTATTAAGTGGTTAAATCAAAAAAGCAGTATTATTGAACTTATAACAGTTTTAGCATGCATATATCCAGCTGATTATAAGTTAGGAGATCATAAATTTTGCGCTTGAAAACAGACAATGAAGATTGTAGGATGCACTAATATAACTCCTTTTTCAAAAATTGCATCTCAGGTATATTTCTAAAAAAACTTTATAATTATTTATCATATTTATAATTAATAGTAATTTCTAATAACATTTTTAGTTAGAATTCTGGACAAATGCAATTAACAATTCAATAGATAAGGAAACTATGTCAACTTTATACCAGAACAATTTGTTAGATATTACTACTCTACCAAAAATATGCATCATTACACCAAATACAAATATCCCAATTAGTAATAATAAGGATCAAAAAATTAATAGTGAAGTAAATAATAAAACAAAATTTTGGAAATGTTTCTCACAATCTATTAAAAAAAATAAATGAGGATTGGATGGGAAACAGCAAATATTATTTATTATTGCAGAAGAATTTGGACCTACAATATTATACGAAACGTTATAGGTATTTTTGTTACTTGAAATTGTTCAATAAAAAATATATATTGTATTTATTAATTAGAACTTATTATGTAGGTTTCAAATAATCTCATTACAGCAGCAAAAAACTTTGCACGAATAAATGGTCCTAGATGTTTTCTGATTACTAAACCAATTGTTACAGATTCACGTGTATTGAAAGTTCAAGACCAATAATTCAAGGCATTTTTTTCTGACAAAAACAATGTTTTTATGAATTCCTATGCAGTAGATAATAAAACAGGCTTACTTTTACTTTATCTCAAAGATAATAAACAAACTTTATGGGAAAAATTCAAAGCTACATATCCAGATGGTATTAAAAAAACTTTATAATGTGTCTAGCTGGTAGAAGATATGTAAATAAACAAGATTTAGGAGAATTGTATAGTGTTTGTAATGATTATGGCTATGAGGTATTTGATTTATTAGTAGAATTAATAGAAACAAATATAGCTCAAAAAGAATGAAAGGTTAGTTAATTTTGCAATTATAAAAATAGTATTTGATGTAGATTCAAATAATAAGTTTATTTTTATTTTTCTTTAGCAAACTTTGATTCATAAAATTGAAACTCTTCGTTACTACATAAAAAGAGAATATGAAAAAGAACTTTTAGTAAATCTTGACAGAACAACAGACTATGTAAGCTGTATCAATCACTGCTTCCAATATGCTTTTGGAAAATGTACATTATCTCATTCAAAGCGTTGTGAAAAGTGTGATCAATTGTTTGATTTTTTCAATACAATAAAAGATATTTTACATTCTGAACATCATGCAATTTTAGAAGAAAGTAAAGAAAAATTAGTTTATTTTCTTGCACATCAGACACGTAAAACTTATCTCAATACCCAATTTAAAGCACAATTATTAGAATTAGATGAAAAAGGTACGCTAATGCTTGCTGATTACAAAATGAAAATTTTACCAAAATCAGCTTGTGAAAAAAAAGAACAGTTCTTTGGAAAGCGAGGATGGACACTTCATACAATAATAGTCTTCACCAAAAAAAATGCAATTGTTAAAGCCCAAGCATTTGATCATTGGCCTTTAGATATCAGGCAAGATGCCTGGTTTACAGCTTCTTCATTTGATGCAGTGTTTGAAATACTTAATAATAAACCTGAATGGATAAAAATATTTTCTGATAATGGCGGTCATTATCATTGTTCAGAAATGATGACAATAATTCGAAATTGGCATCAATAGTATAGTATAGATGTGCGTAGTTAGTTTTTTTTTGAACCTGGTGAAGCAAAGTCTTTGGTTGATTCACATCACGCTATAGTAAAATTTGAATTTTTTTATAAAGGATTCTGGCAATCTAATTATTTTATCCTATTCTTTAATTCAAATTAGTAATTACCTAACTAAACAGATATCACATGCAATAAAAAGATATATACAAGTAGGCCATGCTCTTGATTCTGGAGAAAAATTCAAACTGCTCTTGAAGGTTTACAAGGAATCTCAATTGCAAACATTGAACCTTATCAAGATCATGTATCTGTTAAAACAATAAACAATGTGTCAAATCTGTTCCATTGGGAATAGCCTATTGATGGAGAATATGCAGGATTTATTTTGGGTTGATCCCTACCAAATATTGGAGATTAGACATATTTTTCATCTTCAGACATCACGAAATTAGTAGAAAAACCAATTCATAAACTAACACCAAGTATTACATTACACATGAAGTCCAAACAATCTTAGATAATACTACTACCACAAGATCAAGGTAAAAAATTTTTTATTTGTCTAATAATTTCAAATAATATTTGGAATTCATTTTTAATTTACAGTGGATTCAAGATATAATAATTATTTTCAAGCTAATGATGAGTTTGAAGAAGGTGTAATTAATTTTAATAAGTCTATCTACATAAATGCTAACTAATAATTATCCTAATTCTAATTATTTTTGCATTATTGATAATTTATTCATGCCAGAAATTATACTCAATTTTCCACTTCCAAGTGGTTAAGCGCTAAAAAGTAATCAACGGTTAGGTAATTGTGGATCAGAAAAGCGAATGATAGAAAAAGTCAAATCTTACCTCCAAGCATTTTTTTTGGCAGGTGATGAAAATAAGACTGAAAGAATGTCAGCTAATGAAATAGTATGAGAATTGAATGAATTAGTAAAGAAAGGCAAAATACAAGTTAATGATGTTCCACAAGTAAAAACAGTTGAAAACTGAATTTCACGAACCTCAGCCACTTTAAGAAAACAAGTAGCTGCTGACTGAAAACAAGCTGAAAATAATAATGGTGAGACAAGTCAGGCTGAAGCATGCTATGAATGAAGGATTGGTGTAAAGACTAATGCTAAAGGAATCCAGAATTTCAAAGTAAAAACAAAACATCAAAAAAGAACAAATTGACTGTAAAAATCAACATTTAAAATAAAGTTTTGGTCATATTCATTGGTTTTAATCTACCAAAGGCTATAATATAAATTAATGAAAAGTATATAGTAAAAAAAGTAAAAAAAAATTTATGACGAAACATAAAAAAACTTGTTTTTGGGTTTTATTTTTAATGTAAATAAAAGGCAGATCATTGTTATTTTTAATAATTATATAGATCACTATCCCTATGGTAGCACTAAGTACCAATTTCCATTCATTCACGGATTATCAATAAAATCTATATGCAATTCACCATTAAAATACATATATTATATTTACAGGGAAAAAGATATTACCGTAAATTTTTCAGATTTGGATGATAATTATGAGTTAATACGTTGAATTTTTCAGATCAGTCTTTGACCCAGATCCTGAATATTGTCTTAATAAAATAATATACTATCCAGCCATACGAAGTGACTCAAGGCCAATGTATGTAAGAGAACAGTGTATGACATAAATAAAACGTGTTTTTGATTCTAGTTAAAGTATATATGATGTAATAAGTGATACATTGCAAATCTTTTGTAACTCTGTGTGACTACTTGTGCGACAAATTAATTTTCACACATAAGAAATTGATCCCTAAAAATATTTTGAATTTTTTCCCTTACAGCATTTATTGATATGTATTTTTACTCCAGAGGGACAGGCTCTTTGACACTACCGATTCTGAGTAGAATATATTTATATAACGTTGCTGAGTCTTAGTATTAACTATTAAGTGATCAGATAAGTGAAAAAAGTTTGTATATGTATTATCCTTAATGCCTTTGTAAATGTCGAGATCTTCAATACATATTCTGCATGCCCTTATTCTCTAACACAAAATTTTAGCATAAGACTTCAATACATATTCTCCTATCTTTCCCAATATGAATGCAAGCCTAAAGGGTCGTAAATAGAGCCATTTAAAAGAGAAGTATAGTAAAATTATTATACCTTTACATTATTTTTTACTTCGCCTAGCAAGCTTTTCACTAACATTTAACTTCTTATTCTATTTAAACATGAAAGAGTTCTTTTTAACCAGAGAACCTTTCGATATCGTCAGAATATCCACAGTGTTATATATATGAGTAAAACAAGGTGAATGGACAGACGTCCTTAAAAAGAAGGTGGAGAACTTTGAAAATATTTTGGAGCGAGTTTTAGAATAAGTCCCCTCAGATGATATTGAGCGAAAAAAGAAGCTTTAAAGTTTTAATACCAGGAAAAAATTAGCAAAATGAGTAAGGTAGTAAACAATAATCATGGTAGATATGTGGATATAATGTCACATATTTTTTTAGATTTTCTGGCATATTTATTAGTAAATGCGTTATATTCAATGTGATATCACTTCTACATGGTAGTAACTAGTAATATATGCATAGTATGATTCCTTTCTAATCGGACTTCTGCTAGCATTCTGATACCATATGAAAACAAAAACCTAATCTGATCCTGCGAAAAATACTTCAATTAATTTATCAAATATATTATTAGCCTAATCTAAGATACTACATTTTAGGTGATGACTGCATTTGAAGATTTATGTTCGCTTACAGGGATGAAAGCTTTGGTAATAGATGCTGAGTCATAGCCTAAAGATGCTAATGCAAACTTACAGCTTTTAAAACGTGATATTGGGCAGGCCATAAATAATACTTTTGGTTGTGAGAAAACTATGTGGAAAAGAATTGAGACAGAATTAGAAGAAGTTGATGTTGAAAGCCTTGGATTCAATCATCCTATATGTCAGAGTTCTTGATATTAGATCTGAACCTTTCACAGAGATGCCTGTTTCATTTTACGATATTTTTAAGAAACCTTTTCAAGAATATAAGTTAGAACATAGTAATATAATTTTGGATAGCTGTAAGGAATTTATTCATAATGAAGAGTCGAAAATAAATTTGAATGAAGATTTGCATGACGTGGCTCAATAAAAAA